CACTGAAATTAAAGTGGAATGCTCGGCTGCTGGAGGCGATGCTGGGGCGACTCAGCTTGTGTGCCCACAAAGAGAGAGCTCTGCTGCCCGCTGACGCACATGCCACAGGCTCACCACCACTGCTCTAGGGAGAGTAAGTGCTCTGGCCCACACGCTATAAAGAGCTGATCAGCAGTTGGGGAAAGCTGAGGGCAGGAAGTATTTGCAGGAATCAGGTACAAAGTATCACCTGCTTCCTCAGATTCTTCAGCTAATTAAGCCAGTGCCCTGAGGTACACAGAGCACCTGAAAGGACACAATGTGGCTGGGTAAAAGTGAAACAAGAACTCGCTGTCCTGGACAGAAAAGAGCAACAGCCTCTTTTCAATATTAACTAGAAGGCTCAGTGGCCAGAGGGCCAGGAAATCCCTGCCCAGCATCAGCTGCAGGTAAGAGGCTCTGTCTGGCTGTCACAGGGAAGGCAAGCAGGAATGCTGGTCCCCCAAGACCCAGACACACATGGCCTCCCTAAGATTGAGGTTGAGCCAGAACAAAATCCCATCCTGCCTTCACTCCTGAAACTGAGTGTGGAGAGCTGGGCAGTAGCAGTCTTCAGGCAGGAGTGGGGTGTAGGGAGAGATCGTCCTCTTTGTAGCACAGGTGTGCGGGAACAGCTGAAGGCAGAGGGGGAAGGACTGATACTCAGAAAACAGCACAGCAGCATTAAGCATCAGACATTCACAGTCCAGTGCTACATGAATCTGAAGCGAAGGGTCCACAGAAGGTGGAAAACCCCAAGTCCAGCTCAGCTTCTAACTAGACTGATTCTACCCTACCCTCTAATAGCCCAATGCAAAAAGAGGCAAGTCCTTTTTTTTGGTGTTTTTGAGACAGGGTTTTGCTATGTAGTTCAGGCTGGCCTTGAACTCACTTGGTAGCCCAGGCTGGCCTCAAACTTGCAACGATCCCCCTGCCTCAGCCTTCCAAGTGCTGGGATTACAGGTGTGTGACACCACACCTGACTAGCAAGCCCACTTTGAGATATAAACATTCTTTACCTCAGTGCACCTAATATTCATCCTATGTTTGGTATTCAATAAAAAATTACAAGACAGATGCACAAACAACATTCCACCCCAAGCAACTCATTATCAAGAAAGTAATGAACAGAAGTAGACTCACACCTGGTTCAGATTTTGGAATTATCAGGTATGGATTTACAAATGGCTAGCATTAAAGTGTTAAAGAATCTAGTGAAAAACATAAAATGAATGAGTAGATGGGAAATTTAAGTAGAGAAATAGGAATTACGGAAATATTTAAAATTAAAAAGATAATATAAAAGATGACAATTCCCTGTGAGCTCATGAGCATTTGATGTAACTAAAGACACATCAATGAGCTGGAAGGAAAGTCAGTAGAATTTACCTAAGCTAAAACAGGAAGAGAAAATGCTATGGGAGGAGAGGGAAGAGAACATTCAAAAATTTTACCACATTATCAAAAGGACATTATCACATACATATAACTGAAGTCTAAGCAAAAAGGACATGGAGAAAATGGGGCTGAAAATATTTGAAGAGATAATGACCAAGAACTTTCCAAAATATAAGAAAGATATCAAACACAGATCCAAGAACTTCAAGTGAGATAAATACTCCTCCAACCTGGTATCCAGCACATCACAGTGAAATGGTTAAAAACCAAATATATAGCAAAAGTCATAAAGGTATCTATAAAATACGTGAGTGATGTAAAAGAACTGTTTTTCAAAAACTAAGCTACAGTGTCAGAATAGTGGCAGCAGTCAGATTTTTGTAGGAGGTGGAGGTGTGGAGGGAGGATAAGTTATATACAAGCACTAACTTTCCACCTGGTATGTAATCGTTACACACTGCAACCATGCAGTAACAAACATTAAAGAAACAAGGTACAGGGGAGAGAAAGGAGGAAACAGCAAAAACCTTGTGAAGAAACACAGTGAATGCTGTTGACCAGACAGTCACTATTAGCTTTACCAGTGATGTGGCATACTGACAACCTGTATCCTAGATGGGACAAGCACAGCTCTTCACCTCTGTACAAGCCCTCCCCAAGACCATAACCTTTGTGTGGTCATGAAAGAAACATCAGACAAACCCAAACAGAGGGACACTGTGCAAAACACTTGGCCCACACTCTAAGACAAACAAACTGAGAAACTGTCACGATGGTGAGAAGAGACTAATAAGACCTGATGACTAAATGTAATGTGGTATCCTGGATGGCGTTCTGGAACGGAAAAAACAGCCTTAGTGGAAAAACTAGAATTGAAGTGTGGAGGTTAACAGGAATATTCTAGGTTGGCTTCTTAGTTTCTAAAAGTGTACCACAGGATGTCAGCGTCAGAAGAAATGATGTGAAGGGTGGGCAGGATCACTCTACACTACACCACTTCCCTGTAAACTTACAGATTAGTTCAAAACAGTTCAGAGAACAACAAGCAAGTTAACAGAAATAAGGGTGGGGAAAAAGGAGACTGAAGAGACATTCAAACCTGTGCTTTTTCCACTTGCTGTGAGGTGCACACTCCCCCTTGCTCAACTTTCTGCTGCTGTTGTCCAGCCAGAACCCTCCCTGCATTGAAGCTCACTGCTCAAAGGGCCGACAAGCTGTCTGTCCTCCCACACAGCACTGCAATATTCTGTTCCTTTTTCTAAAATCACACAGCAGGAAGACATCTTCAGTGTTTCCCCACCCCGATGGGTAAAGGTATTTTAGTTTCAGACTGTTCAAGATAAATGTTCTAATTTATTTTTTAATAATAGTTTTGTAAGTTTCAAAATTTGTTGCCCTCTCCAAAAATTCTGGAGCGCTTTGATGTACATTTTAAGGGAGAGGTAAGGTCAGTCACTAACAGTCAGTCTGCACTCAGATGAACACTGATGGAGTTGTGGTTCCAACACTTACACAGCGTTTCTAATTACTGCCACTTTGTGACGCAGTCCTGGAAGTCCTCTCTCCTACCTTTAGTCGCACTGTTCTGGGTGCCTTGATGTTCCAAATAAATTTACAATGTTCACCTTTCAGCCGGGGATATAGTTCAGTGGCATACGCGCTTGCCTGGCAAGCCTGAGGTCATGAGTTCGATTCTCGGTACACAAGGAAAAAAAAATTTAAAAAGTAACTTAAAAGAATAAAGAAAACATACCAGGTTCATAGGACACCACCACCTTTCACTGTCACTCTGACACTGGGGAAGAGCCAGAAGTTGCACAGTGTCAGATCTGGCAAACAGGTGGATGAGAACACACTAATGTATAGATGGCACTGTATTTTTTTATCACACCTTGTAAAGCCACTCACAAAAGAGGACTTTGAGAACTGCTCACAATGTGGCAAAAATGATAAATGTGTCTGAAGCACGGCAGGGTATTTTGTGGAGGATTACAGGCAATGCATCTTTTACTATAATACATTTTCAAAATTTAAACATTAACTGTGTATTTTGATCACGTCTCATATATGTACTGAACTATCACAATGTCCCCCATGTACAAGGGTGCTAATTAAAAACAAAATTATAGGCCACATACAGTGGTACAGGCCTGTAATCCCAGTATCCTAGGAGGCTGAGGAAAGAGTACCACAAATTCGAATCCAGCTAACTTAGTGAAAGACTGTCTCAAAATAAAAGAACATGGGTGAGATATCTCACTGTAAAAGTCCTGGGTTCAACTGCAAGTACTGCAAAGTAGATACATAGACAGACAGACAGCAAGAATTTATAAATTTACAAGGCCTTACATTTTTATTTATTTCTTTCTCTTGGTCTTTTTGAGATAGGGTCTCACTATGTAGTTCAGGCTGGCTCTCTTTGTAGCCCAGGCTGGCCTCGAACTCGCAAGAATCCTCCTGCCTCCTCCTGAGTGCTGGGATTACAGGCATGTGGCACCACACCCAGCTACATTTTTCTATTTGAACTAATTTTACAAATGCGTTTAAAGTACAAGGTATATCACTTTTATATCCAGTGCTTTTTGCACATACACAAATCACTATCGGTAATAAAAAGTGACGAAAGATCATTCTAAGACCACTGATGTTCAGAATACAGTAGTCTAAGTCTGATTTAATCTTCTTCAGGGGAATGACATTTCTTAACCACCTTTGCAAGTCCTGTGGCACTACTAATATACAACTTCTCACACAGTGGATTCCCAAAACCAAGTAACTTCATAATCAAGATTCAGACAGATCAAAAAGGCTAGACACTTCCTCAGCTCTATTTAAGTAAAAGTTTCTTTCGATGTTAAAAGGAGTGCATTTAAGAATTTTAGTCCTTTTATCTTTAAATAGAAAGCACTGGGGCTCATTTTTATCTTTCATATAACTTAAGTAACTATTATGTATAGAGGTGAAAGAAGCTCCCTTTGAAAATTAGAAATCGCTCAAGAATTTAGATTATAACAACTCTCCAAATGAGTGTTCCCTATTTATCACAAAAGCCCGTAGAAAAGGACACAAGTGAGCATAATTTAGAAAATACAGGCTATAGCTACACCACACACGGTTTTAGTAAATCAGTAAATCAACAATGCCTATAATGTCAAGAAAATTCGACAATCACGAAGGTGGAAAAAGTCACCAACATGTAGGCCATTCTGTCACGAGTGGTATCTTTTCACTTGGGGGCAATAAAGAACAAAGGAATGGATAGAAAAATGAATAATCATTTGTGTAAACTGTCAAGTATTTAGGCAAAGCATATTTAAAAAAAGGAATAGGACTGGTGATTGAATGAGAAGTACCTTTTTCCTCTTTATAGGAAAATAAAGTTACATTTCTCTACTTTTGGTAAGTATAAACACATAGCTGAGTCAATTTTAAAAGGAGTAATACAGAGTAAAAATCAATAAAATTGAAGGTCACACATAATTATACACCTGAAAAAGTATTGCTGATCCCAGAGCAATGGCATAAGAAGACAGTCTTATATGCAAGCCTGTTGGTTAACAGGAAGATATGGAGTTAATTTTCTCTTCTAAAATGCACATATTATTTAGATTTAACAATTAAAACTACTGACAAATTTGTTTCTGAACCCTCTCAATTCAAGTGTGCATGCCAAGGTGTCATTCCATTCTTGCATTCACACATGGGATCAAAAAATGAAATTCCCCAATCCCATCCATGTCTCAAAAAGTCACTGACTGCTGGAAAACAGCAGAAATTTATTCTCTCCTGGAAATGAATCAGAAGGCAGACCATCGCTGGGTAGCCAGCATATGATTCAGCAGAGCTTTGTATAAAAAGTATAAAGTTCAAGAACAACCCAAAAAGGACTGTGGAAGTAGTGGCTGGTTTTACCCTTCTTGGAATCATTACCAACGCATCTCTGAACTGACTGGGGGTAACGGAGGAGCACACCAGCGTGACACAGCTGTGGCTTTTAAAGAGCAGCCAACAACAAGCAATTAGGGGCTCTCGGCAAGTGCAGGTAGGAGAAATTAAAATGTGTGACAATCGGTTTGTATAACCAGTGATGTGAACAAATGAAAAACAGGGCATGGCTCTTAATGTCTCAGAGGAGCTAAGATATCAAAGTAGGATACTTTTAATCAAAGTACAATACTTTTTTCTGTGTCTCATGAGATTGCTATGTTTGCATCTTCTTTTGTTTTACTAAGCAATGGTTAAGTAAAAGCAAATCATTTTTGATCTTTTTTTCTGCATTTCTGGAGAAGCTGGAGTAGGCAATTTAAGCAGGAGGAGGAAAGCATCCAGGCAGATGCACAGAACTAACAACAAAGCTGTTGCGTGAAATGCCATCTGTCTTCACTAAGGTTTCACTCTAAGACTACCATATCTGCACTCACTTTTGGAATGAACATCTCCTCACAGTCAAAGAGGGGCAGAGTCATTAATTTTGCAGTTATTATGTAGTAAAATTTCAGTAGAGCAACTTCAACTCATTATATGTCACCACTATAAAGTTTAGAGACTGCTTTCCTTTGAGAGCTCACACGAGATGCTTTTTTTTTTCTGCAAGGGAAATGTCAAAGAGAAGGTGGGAAGAAAAGGCTAGAAGTAGAAGCACAAAAATACTTAATTGATAAATAGGTTTTTCATGTTTTCCTGAATGTTTTCCTAACCCATGAGAGCAATTCAGTTTTTGTATTTTAACCGTACTATATTACTAGCTTAGAGCTGTGTAACTGCAAGGTCAAAAGGCTTTCAGAATGAGCCTCAGCAGGTGAGCAGGACAGTGCAGTCTCAATATCGGTCTCAGAATCGGTTTACGAAGCCCTCCTTTAAGTCGCTGGGGGTTGCAGTGCCTGCTGTCTTGCCACCTCTTCTCACCACTTCATCATTCTAATTTAGTTCAACTCTTTTACTTTGTTTTCTTAAAATAACAGGTCTGAACTCTGGGAGGGCAGTGAGATACCCTGCCCTGCGGTTTCATGTACTTTTCTGTTATGGTCTACTGGAAACGAGTAACTTTAAAAAATGCAATTTCACATACCCTTGATCCCCCATTGGAATCGAATCTGTTCAACAATGCATGTTAATATTTTTTGAATTTAAAAAATGATTTAGTCTTAAGACTTCAACACTGGTTTTTGGCAGTCAGCTCTTTCAACATAGTTTCAACTCTTTGAACCTGTCCCTCACAATTCTTTTGCCACTGCATGAGCTGTCAAGATAGCAGCAGCCAAAGGATCGGAATGAATGTGGAAGCCCATAAAAGTTATTTATCTAGGGTTCCACCGAACAAGTTACACTGACAACTGACTGGCCCCACATATTTGACAGTTTTATAGAAACTTGAAGCACTATAATTTATTCAAGAGATATTGGAAGGGGAAAGATCTCTGTTCTTAGACTAACTTAATCAAGAAAAGATGAGGTAGAAGGTAAAGGGTAAGTGTCTGGGATACACAACAGTATAGGTTAGTTTTCTTTTGTCTCTCACATTCTTTTCCCCATATAATCCAGGTCATTGCAGCCCAAGACCCAGTACCTTCTCTCCCTGTCTATTTGGCACAAGAGAGGCAGTGTTGTGTAATGTGTATAGCTGGGCAAAAGAAGATAAAAACCCAGGATGAAGAAGCTCTGAAGAGAGCTGTTCCACGCACCAGGGGCTGATCCAGGAGGACAAATGGGGAGATGGCAAGAGCTGCACTGTGAACGGCCACCAAGATGGGGCGAGGGGAGGACCCAGGGCACAAAGTTACTGTCAGACCCACAGACATCTTCTCTATTATTCTTGAATGTAATTTTCATTAATTTATACTGAAATTTAAAAGCAAATATTATGAAAGTATGATAAGAATTTTACTATATGACTGCACTCTAAATTCCCTATGCCTCAAGGAAGGATTTCTTATGCCCTTCTTCATCCATTCCCAGTTAGTAAGTAGTACATATAATTCCGCTTTCCTTATTTGTCCATGTCTTCTTTAAGAAACATTGCTCTCTACTTTGTACTATACATAGAACTGTAATTCCTTAACAGACCACAGTAAGTTAAAAGCAATCTCCACACATCTATGTAAGTACAACGTTAAAAAAAACACTCAATGGAACCTAACATTAAGTGAGACCTATAAACTTAATAATAGAGGAATAAGGACAGATGAAAAAAATACCATAGAAACTGATGAGTTTAAAATAAGAGAAGTCAAGTACAAAATATTTTACTTATCCTCCTACTCCCAATAAAGAAGGATAGGAAACTGGATGACACTGATGTTATTTTCCCATGTAAATATGCATTACTGACTTCAATAACTTTGACATTTTTAAGAAACTGCATAATTGGGGAAGTAGATTGGAACTTGGAAAGTAGAATGGTCACTATTACATTTTATTACAGGAGATGACAGCTATTACTGCACTTGATTCAAGTCAATGTAATTTTTTTCTAGCCCATTTCCAGCCCCAATATTTTTAGGTAATTAACTGTTCAGTTTCCTGTGTATTCTTTCAGTGTTTCTGTGTATAAATACTTATCTATATCACACGTCACTTATACAGAAGATAGCATACGATGTATACAGCTTTTTTTTCTTTTCTAAAGAGAACCATGTTATTTCTTTGTGTGTGAATACATGGTGATTATTCACAACGTCTTCTTGATGGCTATGCGCCTTGCTTTCTCCAATCTTACCTATATTGTAATGAGTAACATCATTCACATGTCATTTCACTGATATGGAAAATAGTCACAGTAAATGCATTTATCGTTTTTGAACTATTCAAAACCATTTTAAATTGAGTAAATTGTTTTAAAAAGACATGCTCCAACCTGTTAAACTGGATTTGGTTGTATCACTTATTTTCAAAATATAGTTTGAGACAAGTGATAATTTATAGTGGTCTTTAGATCTGCAGAAAATGGCCACTGAACTGCAGAAGAGACATTTGTGTTGGTGAATGACAAAAATTAAAAAATGAAAATCATTACTATAAAGCACATATTCAGAAAGATTATCTTTCTCAGTTTATCCAATATATCTGGAGAGGTTTGGAGAAGTTAGGACACTGCATAATGGTATAACAATCCTGACTGTGTTTTCCACAATGCCTACAAGCATGCAACTTATACCCTTTAATCCAAATGCAGAAACATTCAAATAATGTACCAGATTATGTGGCCACATATAAAGTATGTATACTCTCTGTCAAAATGAAGTTTTATTGTTAGAAAAGCCTCATTCCAAATCAGCATACAAAGTAAAAACAAAACAGCAATTACAATGTGGTTCTTAAGGAATTTTTTAAAATCCTGAACACTGTTTTTTATTTTTCTTACTCAAGAAAAATTGTACTTTATTCTCAAAACCATTCATTATTTTTCTTCCTTTACAGCACATTATAGCCAATTTAAGGAATGTAATGGGATATCTTAGCTAAGAGATGTGACTCTAGTTACTAATACTGAGGCATAAACAAATCAAATGTTGCTTTATTTTTATTTTGATGGGTAAAATTAAACAAAAAAATAATTATTTAATTCCATCATCAAAGACACCCACCTATTTCTCAGGGATAACCTCTCTTTCTTATAATTGAATTAACCTGTAAATTTACCAAATAAATATCATGAACAGGGGTGTTTCACACTGCTTTAACACTATCTTACTGTTCTAGAATTGGTATTTTTTTTTAACAAAACTAAAACACAAAGTTTGTGTATTTTTTTTGACATTTTAGGGAAGACATAAAATAAGGTTTACTTAAAAATTCCCAAATACAAACATGATCACCTGTAGCATGGAGTATAATGTGTTGGGGTGAATTTGCTGTCTGAGTTCAGGAAAGAAAACAAGTTATAACTGTGCATCATTCTGAGTAGGCATTGCACTCTGGATGATATGAGGATACAGGACTGGAAAGAGATCAAGGCTCAGTGACAGCACCTTTTAGCCAAAAACATCACTTCAGATATTCTGCTGTTTTGTTAAAAAATTAAACATATTTACTAACTATTTTTAAGTTTCACATGTTTTCACTAAGTGCTAACACTGCCACCAAGTAACCAAAAATAGAATCAACAAACTATTATATTACTATCCCTCGGAGGGGAAAAAGACATATTACAAATCTGCACTGATTTGAGGGGCTGCTTCATCCCTTTGGTCAGTCATTATAATGAGCACCAGACCAAAACAAGTCCCAAGATGGTCCCTGCAGACATGGACAGCCTACTTTCAAAGACATACTTGCCTTTTCTAATTGTGACACATACAGCTTCACACTGGAAAGATACTTAGAAAACCTTCTGATGAGGGGTAAGACTTATTTTTCCTCCTGATAAGTTACTTTGCCAAAATGCATTTCTGTACATGTACCTTCTGCAAAATCTGAGAGAGAGTAAGGAAACAATCAACGACAAACCTTCAGTTTACCAAGACTCAGGCATACAGAACTATCTGGGTTTCCTCATTTGGTTTTAACATTTTTGCATAAAACACAGAAATGAAAATCATTAAAACAATAAGAAAGTTATCTGCCTGTCTTTGACATACATAAATGACAGTTTCATATGATGAAACATAATGTATTTTTGAAGTCTAACCAAACACAGAGGCACTTACATACAACCAAGACTTGACTCAAGAAGGCTTAGACCTAGAATAAATTACCAATCAAATTTTACATGAATAAGTAGCATATTACCTTTTTCAACTTTTTAATTCCATCTGTATAAAGACTTTAGGAATAAAGCATTTAGGAAATATGATGGTTAAAGACAAGAACTGATATTAGGTAAATGATAGCACGAAGTTTACCTCAACATATCCTGTGAAAAACCATTTAGAACTAATGTTTGTGGATATTCTCCGCTGAGCACTATTTTAAAATGTACTGCCCTTTTAATGACTCTTCTGTAGCATTATGTAAGAGTGTCCTGACTCCTACCTCAGTGTCTAATGAGTTTCCAAGAAGGTGCTGGAAATAACGGTCTGGAGAATAGGAAAGTGAACTTAAGCA